GTCTCAGCCAAGTGCGAGTATCTGGGCATCAAAGGAGGAAAACTGGGATGGAGGGATGCAGTGTCCCACAGGAAAGGATGCTCGCAAACCACCTCAGGACACTTGGTGTATTTCACAACATTCAGAGCACAAGAGATAAAACGCAGGCACATGGTTAAACTTTGAAAGGAGCATGGCTGTTCGAGTTGCTCAATCCATAGTTTAAATTAAATTCTAAGAAGACGGCAGTCAGTGTTCAAAGACACAGTGGTTCACGCTCTTTGAAAAGCATAGACATGATGCATTGTTGGAAAATTTCTGTATTTTAGTTTGGAAAGAGTAGCCAGTATTTGTAACGTGTTCCCTTGAAATCTATCGGTGATTTCAGCCCTTTTAGTTTGTTTCTTTTTGAACATGTATGTTACCTTCTTGTAGGTAATAATAATTACTATTATTTTCTAAAAACTATTTTATTCATTATTTTATGTGTATGCATGTATTGCCTGCATGTAGGTAAGTGCACCGTGTCGTGCAATGCCTGCGGAGAGCAGAAGAGGCTGTTGGATCCCCTGGAACTGGAGTTACGGACAGTTGTTAGCTGCCATGTGGATGCTGGGATTCGAACCCAGATCTTCTGCAAGAACAGCCAGTGTTCTTAACTGCTGAGCCATCTCTCCAGTCCCCTATTATTATTTTCAAACATTTCCATCTAACCCTTCTCGAGGCTTCACCATTATAAATGTTTGTATACATCATCACAGATGTTTTAAGAACAGTAACAGAAAGGCTATGCCATAGGACAGGAATTTTATGAGCTTTCCCACTAGATGGTGGTGAAGGGCTAAAGAATAGGCTAAATTCATTATCTGCCAGCTTCTTTGTGTCAGGTTGAAATTCGAAAATGTCTGAGCTTAGGAAGTGTTTACTTGTAGAATTCACTTAGGGATATTTACAGATTGTTTCACATCGTGCTGAACATAGTGCTCTTTTGCATGGTGTGTTCTGGTATGTAGTAAGTATTTATTGATTTGTTTCTTGGCTTCTGTTTTTCTTTTTAAGATAGGATCTCCCTGTAGTCTCAGCTAGCCTGGAGCTCACTGTGTAGACCAGGCTAGCCTCCATCTCACAGAGATTCCCCCTGCTTCTGCCTCCTGAGTGTGGGGATTAAAGATGTGGGCCACCACACCCGGCCCCATGGTTTGGCCTTTTGTGGAGTTTCATCTGGAGACAAGGGCAGTGGATCTTGTTTACAAAATTCAGTTGAGTGTCAGGTTTCACTGGATCCTCTATTTTTAAATTTATTTTTCATGACATATCATATTTTCTCATGGTGATTATAAAAACTTACTTGTTTAAACTGTACCATCCCTTAAGCACATGTAAACACACAAGTACATTCATGTAACATTTTTGCCTTGAGTAATTAATCCAAATTTATACATTTTCTTATATATTATGCCCATGAAGCTCTAGCTGAGAAAAAAAAATACTGGCATACTGTTTAGAAATGAGAATTGTGTTTATGAAGTGGTTTAATCAGTCAATAAAAGATCAGTTTCTCTACATATCAGTTACTTTGAAGGACATTAAAATTTCATTTTGGAAATTCTGCATATGAGTAAGAACGAATGAGGTGTTTGTTCGCACCCATAATAGAAGCTCCTGAAGTATCACCCAGGGGTTCGACATCCCGAATCCCAAACCCGGAATCTGAGATGCTCAGGAGTCTGACTTGATAGCACAAGTGGAAAGTGATCCTCCTGTGGTCACGTGACGGGCTACAAGCATAGCAAAGGCGCAGTACAGAGATAATAGAGGACTCCCAGGTTGAGAGTGTGAGGTGTCCATAAACTACTGAATTTGTGCTTACACTTCAGGACCTCCTGGCGCTATCTCATTGAGTATATACAGATATTCTCAGATCCCCCAAATCTGAAACCTTTGTGGTCTCAAGCATTTCATACAAGAGTTTCTCAACCTGCATAACTCAAAAGCCCTAAGAAGAGGCAGGTAGATCTCTGTGTTTGAGGTCAGCCAGGGCTATCTCAAAAAGCATAAAAATTGGCTCCTTAAT